GAAGTGCAACAAGATATATCTAAAAGCAAGAAAACTTACGTATTCATAATTTCAATCATGTAAGGTGATCAAATTAAGTAAGTTTTAAAGATTGTCATGAGATATAAATTAATAATCAAAGAAGACATGACAAAGATTGAGGTTACAAAAAACAAATCATATATAACATAAGAACATATGCCGAGCTTCAACACAATGTTAGCAATTATAAAAGGAAGCATTCATTCAACATTATTGTCGTTGTATATGTGGCTAGACTATTTGCATATTTGTTGGCGTTAGATTTCGATAAGAAATTTAATGACAGAAGAAAGGTCACGACGAATCAATGACTTGAATATTTTATTTATAGCCTATGCATTTTCTATAAACCATCAAATGTGCATGATAATAGTTTAGATGGTTATTATAGGGTTAACGTTTAACATCCCTAATCAAAGAATTCGACGGTATAAATTTTCTAAGAATATCAATTTATGTGTTTGTTTGGATATCAGCTTTGATGCTAGAGTCTAGGGTTTAAGTTCTATGTATTGTTTACAATGTTTACGTACATTTGTGAATATTTAAACTCCCATGTTAGTATTTAGTACCCTTCTTAATTAGGCATAATGTTAATAAATAATTTAATTGTTTACTAAAATATTAGTAAAAATTATAACTAAAGAAAACCTTTTGTGATAATATAAATAATAATCGTGGATAATAGAAAAAGAGGATAATAATGATCGCGGAAATAAAGTTCAAAAAAATAATCTCAAAAATTAATTAAAATATTATACTTTATATTTAAATAATAAAATTACACATAAAATAATAAAACTGATTTCTAAAACATTGTATTCTAAAGACCAACAATTTTGAAACGAAAAATGTTAATTATAGCTTTTTTCCTATGAAAGATTAAGAAAGGAAACATCAATTAAGTAGTTTTGTCTAACTCCGTATGATTTCTAAACATACTTTCCTAAAAATTCTTTTACTAAACGGTTATCCGAAGTTTCTTTAAAGAATCATAAAATCTAATTATGTATCTCATTTCCATTAGTTAGTCGATCTGAACTAATTGAAGATAACAAGATTAACCCAAATTAATCAAACCACTCAAAATTAACCAAACTTTTCCCACTATAAACCGAATTGAATTGACGCTTCAGTTTTAAATGGCAACATACATATGACCGGATTTTGCAATAATTGAACCAAACTAAACCATAATTTTGTTTGATTAGTTTCAATAGAATATTTCGAACCCGAATGATCAAACAATCGATAAAATCGAATCAACCCGATCATTTTTGGATTTAGACTCAAACACAAAATATCTAAACTTAAAATATATTTTTGTATTTGTATTTAGACTCGGATGCTAGGATTCTATGGTTTTGGGATCTATGTATTGTTTTTAATATTTTATGCATATTTGTGAAGGTTTAGACGAACATATTAAGTTTTAGTATTCTTTAATTTAATAAAATATAATTTCAATATTTTACATGGTTTTGTGACAATTTAGATTCACATAGTAGGGTTTAATACCCACTATTTTTCTAAAAAGATAAATTATAAATTGAATTCTCATTTCAAAAGAAATTCTATATTAAGGTTTGAAAGTTACTTTGTTTCTCTTTGTTTACATGGTGCTCTTATGATTCGTTTCTTTAGAGATCCATGGAGTCCTGAATACGTTTCGTATTTGATCGGTTCTGAATATTTTTACCGAATGACCAA